AAGTTGAACCCACGGGCTCAGGCAATCCACTCACCTCAGCCTCCCAAGGCGCGGGATTACAGGCTGAGCCACTGAGCCCGGCTTCATCTATCTCTTAATAGAAAGCAAACTGTGACTTTTGTCTGGTTGCATTGATGTGTCCCTAGAACCTTCCAATCCACTTAGTAAGTTCTCAGCAATTGGTTGTCGAATAACTGACTGAATGACCCGGAATCTAAGCCATTCCCGCATGCGTCCCTCCTGGCTACTCTCCCCATGGTCACAGAAAGCCCATCCGCTGTCCCCTCCCTTGGCTCCTGCCAAGGCAGGTCCTTACTTCCTCATACAGACGCTTCAGGAAGCAGATGTACTCTCTAAGTGTCTCCAGCTTGGCTTGCAACTCCATCCTGCTCAGGAAAACCCCATCGGCATCCTGGGGACAAGGAGACAGAAGCTATGGAACCCCCACTCCCTCTTTGCAGGCCCTACTCTGGCTCAGGAATTCTGCTCACACACTGCCCGACAGTCCCCCACCACTGCCCCCGGAGACCCCCCTCCTTCCTCCTCCAGCCCTGCCCTGTCCTGCCCTCCCCTTTGCCCGACAGTGACCCACACCGCCTTCAGGAAGGCTTCCCTGATTCACCCCAACCAGTTCTGCTTCTTCCACTCCCTCCCCGCCCTCTCCTGCAGTGACATCAGAGGTTGTCAAGCTGTCCCTCGGTCAGATCTTGTCTTGGGGGCCCTGTGTCTAGGTAGATGTCCCATTCCCCTGGGTGGGAGGCCCTGCAGGCAGAATGATGGCATGTCCTCAATCAAGGTCTCCTGCCTGCCGTCCCCCCAGTCTAAGACTGGGCCCCGCACACAGTAAATGCTCAGAATGTAAGTGGAGCACTGGCCCCCGCCCTCACCTTCTTGAGGACCACAAAGTCATTCTCGAGTGTGGCGCGCCTGTGGGCTTCCTGCTTGTACCTGCCGAGTGAACAGTAAAGGGCGCAGCCTGAGGCCCCGAGACCCGAGTCCAGGCCCCAGCCTCCAAACGTGACTGCCCTGAAAACGACTCCTTGCTACATGATGACCCAAACGGGACACACGACCAGCCCCCTTCCCTCCCCCTTCCTGCCATGCCCTGTGTCCCTGTGCCACTCTCTCTGCCCGCGTCTCCTAGATGACAACAACCAAAGGCCATCACGTTGATAAGGCAAATTCAAACGCCTCTCCTCACGACTCACAGCCATCACCTGAGCCAGACAGTACGGGCTTTATCAGGGAGATCGGGTGACTTGGCCACGACCCCACAGATAATGACCTAGCCAGCACGGAGCTAGCCCCGGTCTCCTGGCCCCAACCCCGGGCTCCTTCCAGAACCTTCCTTCCTCAACCTCCCATCCCATCCTCCCAACAGCCCTGGGAGGTAAGAAGGGCGGATGACATGTCCCAGTTTACAGATGGGGAAACTGAGGCTGGGAGAGGTACGGCAAGTCTCCTGCTAGTCCAGGGCCTCTCCTCTCCACAGGTGACCTGGGTGGGGAGCCCAGAGCCACAGCCCATCTGTGAATCACGTCCTGAACCTGGGGATGGCCCCACTCAAGTGATTTCTGTCCTGCCCTGAGACCAGAGAACATCAGGATCACGTTTGCCCACAGCCTGCTGAACAGGAATTTCTCGAAAAAAAAGCCCAGTGAGGCACTGTTTAAAGAAGCCCCTCCTGGCCCTGACCAGAAACATGGGCCCTCATGGCCTGTGCCTGCAGGAAACGGGCCACGACCCAACAGAGCCAGGTCTCCCTGCCTCGCTCAGAGGTTCTCCGAGGGGGGGAGAACACGCTGTGGGTCTTCTTGTGGGGACAGGGATGCAGAGGGGTCAAAGGGGGCCGGCTGTGCATCTCTGAGCCCGAGGCATGTGGGAGCCCCTCTGGCTGGCAGACCCAACCCGAGTGCCCGCTGGGACTTGCAGGGTTTGCCTACTTGTCCTTATACTCCTCCTCCTGGTCCCGGCAGGCCTTCAGCTCAGCGTCCAGAGGCCCTCGTTCTCCCTGGAGCTGCTCCAGCTGCCTCCTGAGCTGGGCCAGGCAGCCCTCAAAAACGGGCTCCAGGCCCCACGGGCCACCACTCATTCCCAACTGCTGCAGCAGTTGCCATTTGGTCTCCAGGACCTTGTTCTGCTGTTCCAGGAACCGCACCTGCCGCACAAGCAAGAGGGTCCCTGAGGTCCCCGCGGGGCTCCCTGGGCACAGCCTCCGGAGCATCAAGCCTCAGGGACCCTCCCGTCAACCCCACCTTTTCCCTGCCTCCCAACCTAGCCTGGGCAGGGGCAGCCTCGTGCCCTTCCATGAGACGCTGAACATGTCAAAATGATCAGACAAGCTGGGCGCTGTGGCTCACGCCTGTAATCCCAAGCACTTCAGGAGGCCGAGGCCAGAGGACTTGAGCCAGGAGTTTGAGACCAGCCTGGGCAACATAGTGAGACCTTGGCTCTACAAACTATCAAAGAATTAGCTGGGTGGGATGGCAGGTGCCTGGAGTGCCAGCTACTCGAGAAGGATCACCTGAGCCCATGAGGTCGAGGGTGTGGTGAGCTGTGAATGTGCCACCTCCAGCCTGGGCAACAGAGTGAGACCCTGACTCAAAAATAAATGATTGGACATTCAAATGGGGAAGGGTTATTGCCAGCTATTTTCTGCCCTGAGCCCCAACCATGGAATAACAGGGCCTCAGCATAACCAGAGAGACTCCATTTAGACCACAGGAGGGACTTCCTTCCTGTGGAAGTGATTAGAAAATGGCAGAAGGAGGCCAGACCTCCCCCCTCCCAAGTCCGCCCAGAGCAGCCACTCTGGGGGAGGCCTGACACAGGGGCCTGGCTGAGGGCCCCTCACCTTGTCAATGAAGGTCGCAAACTTGTTGTTGAGGGTTCTGATCTCCTGGGTCTCCTGCGTCCGCACCACCTGGAACTGGGGGTCCATCTCAATCTTCAGGGGAGTCAGCAGACTCTGGTTGATGGTCACTTCTTGGATGCCCCCCGGGGGGCAAAGGGAAAGCCCGGGCCCACCACTCCCCTCCCCAAGCTGTGCCCCCAGCCTTCTGCCTGACCCCCAGGCCCTCCCCCGGGAGCCCCCTGGGCACCTCCCAAAGGGACTGAGGCTTCTGCTGCTGAAGCCACCCCGGCTGCGGCCCCCCGAGGGGGAAGAACAGGCAGAGCGAGCCCTGAAGCCCCTCTGGGCCCGGCATGGGGAGAGAGACATGGCAGAGGCAGACGGTCCCACAGCTGCAGACAGACACGCGGATCGTCGGGGTGTGTGAGTTCCTGCCCCGGGGCCCCGGCACGAGACTTTTATCCCCTCCCGAACCTGGGCTGGGCCTTGGAGAGCAGGATGCTCTCAACCTGACTGTGTCTGTCACTCGGCTCCAGCTGACTTACTCTGACACGCCTGGAGAATGGGTGTCTGGCACGTGCAGAGCCCAGGGGAGAAGGGGACCCGGACCCTGCCCTCAGAGTGCCCAGGCTGGTGGAGAGAGGGGCATACCCACAGACCAGGAAGCAGGCAGAGGAGACCTGACTTCAGTGCTGGGGGCAGAGAGGGATGGCCCGAGCAAAGTCACAGAGGGCCATTCAAGGGAGGCTTCCTGGAGGAGGAGACAGGGAAGGAGGAAAGGAAGATGGAAAGGGTTCTGATGAAGCATCAGAGTGCGCTGAAGATGTGGCCTGAGGAGCATGTAGCTTCTCAGAGAGGCTCTGTCTCCGAGGGTGGAGAGGAAGGCCCTTTGCAGCACTACAAAGTCAGGAAGTTAATGAGGTATTACTGACATCGCTGGCTAAAAGACACTCCAGGATTTGGAAACGAACAGAAAAACAGGGTGTCCAAGTCCCTCCTCTTGCCCAACCCAGCAATCATCCACGAGGCACCACCCCATGAAAGCAGGCAGCTCCCTCCAGGACAGCATGGGACAGAGCGAATGGGCCCAGCCCGGCCCACTCCTGCACAAGCACATGGCACCGGGTCATACACCTGTGACCAGGCTCTGCGCGTGCTTGGTGACCAGTTGGAGGTTCCCCGGGCTCTGAAACGAAACTTGCATTTGGAAAAACACTCCTAGGGGTGCGGGAGCCAGAACAAGAGATTTGGGGTTTCCCATAGGACAGATTCTGCCTCGGACCTGGAAGTCTAGCAAGCAGAGAGCACGTGAGGGTTCATCTGGTATTTTAGTGCAATCCCGGAAGGAGGCAGGCATCCCAGAAGAAGGACGTCTAGCAGTCTCTGCTTAAGCGCCTTAGCACTGGCCAGCAGAGTTGGACAGCTCTGATTTGGGAGCATATCTCAAGTGTCTTCTTTTTGGCCAGCAGCTCACATCTGTAATCCCAGCCTTTTGGGAGGCCAACATGGGAGGATTGCTTGAACCTAGGAGTTTCAGATCAGCCTGGGCAACATAGTGAGACTCTGACTCTACAAAAAAATAATAATAAAATAAAATTTAAAATATCTTCTTTCCATGGCAAGAGGGCTATTTCTCCCTGTCTCCCCCCGCTCCCCCTTCTCTGGAGCCTGGTGCATTTGGAAGCAAGGATTCTGGCGCCTTTGACAATGACAGTGCAACTCAAAGCAGGGACAAGCAGGGCCTTAGCAGAGTGAACACTCAAGAGATATGCTATGAGGAAGTCACTCTGAGCGATTTCAGTCATCCCCAGATACCCCGCCCCCAAGGCCAGACAGCAGCAGGGATTAAAAGCCCCTTCCTCCTTCCCTTCGCCCCTTCCGGCAGCACCCCGAATGACACGGAACTGAACAGCAGATGACCTCACGAGGAAGAAGAGGCAGGCCTTCAGTGAGGAAGACAAAGGAGTCCAAGGAGCCAGGGGCCAAGTGAGGAAGAGGAGAGGGAAGATCCCGGAGAGAGGAACGGGACAGGGAGGGATGCAGAGCAGCCCTGGAGTCCAGAATGGGGAGCTGAGGACACCACGCCAGACCCCAGCCCCTGGGGACCAGTCTTGAGAAAGGTCTCCCCGGACTGGCCTTCCCCCTTCTCGGTACTGAGGGTGGAGGACAGAGGTCACACTAGGGACGGGGCCAAACCCGCCTCAGGGAACTTCCCCATATTTGTAATATTCTAGAACACAGAGCAGAGCCAGAGAGAGCTTCAGGTTCATCCAGTCCAATGCCTTTGTTTTACACTTGAGGACTCTGGGGCCCCATAGGATGTAGGGTGGGCACAGAGACTATATCCCCTTGGGTAAGCTAAGAGGCTGCACCAGGGGACCTACAAGTCTGCTCTGTGCTCCGAGGGACTTGCTCAAGGCCACCTCACAGCCATGCAGGTTGGAGCCGCCACCCTCACCCAACTCAGACCACCGAACCCTAGAGCATCCCCAAACAAGCCTCCTGCCCCTCCACATGGTCACCCTGAAAAATTCCTAACACAGCATCACCCAGCACGTGGTCATCGCTTCCCGGCATCTGTCTTGTGCATTCACCCTACCCAGCTCTGGGTCTCATATACACTGGGCATCAACAAACAGTTGTTTAAAGAGATGAATTTTTATCCATGACAGTTATACCCAGGTTTTTTTTTAGTTGGAGTCTCACTCTGTCACCCAGACTGGAGTTCAGTGGCCGCTCCCTGCCACCGCAGCCTCAACCTGCTGGGCTCCGATGATCCTTCCACCTCAGCCTTCCAAGTAGCTGGAACTACAGGCGCGCACTACCACGCCCGGCTAATTTTTGATTTATTGTAGAGATGAGGTCTCGCCAAGTTGCCCAGGTGGGTCTCGAACCCGCGGGCTCAGGCAATCCACTCACCTCAGCCTCCCAAAGCACAGGATTACAGCTGAGCCACCGAGCCCGGTTCCCAGGGACCTTTTTAACTCCCCAGGTTTGCAATCACTGCTGTAACTGATGCTTTCCCTATTGAAATATAGTTTAAAAGATCATGCAGGCTGGGCACAGCTGTGGCTCACACTTATTATGTAATCCCAGAGCTTGGAGAAGCCGAGGCAGGAAGATTGCTTAAGTCCATGGGTTCAAGGCCAGCCTGGGCAACATAGTGAGAAAATTCTTTTTGTTGTTGTTGTTGTTAAGATTAGAAAATATAGTTTATTTAGAAAGTAAATTAGAGAGAGAAAGAGGAGATACACCTCCTCAAGGTAGGGGAGGGGGGCCAAAGCCAGGAAACACGGCAGCAGCCATAGCTCCAAGAGTTCATGGCCACACCAGAGTCTAGTAAGGCAATGAACTTCTTTTTTAAAAAAATTTGTTTAATTAGACAAGCTTGGTGGCACATGCCTGTAGTCCTAGCTATTCGGGAGGCTGAGGTGGGAGGATCAATTGAGCCTAGGAGTTTGAGGCTACACTGAGTCATAATCGCACCCCTGCACTCCAGCCTGGGCAACACCTGTCTCTAACAACAACAAAAAAGAAGATTATGCAGTGATGGAGAGAACAACAAAACAGCTTGGAGGCTGAGCTTGGGCCCTCACCAGCTGAGTGATTTGGTCCTGTACACAAACAGATCCCAGCTTGTACAGCAGAAGGGTACAGCTGGCTCCCATCCTGGGCTGAACACACTGCAGTGCAAAGAATCCAACAGGCTTAGTTTCCCCTGCTGCAGGTCCATCGCCCCACACCTCGTGTTCTGCAGCCCCCTCCCTCCCCTGTCCCTGTCTCTGGAAAAACCCCTCCAGATATCCCCCTCTCCACCTAAGTTCACCCTCAGCCACAGCCTCAACATCCCAGTCTGGTTTTCTCTAATTACTCTCAACCTTGCCCTTTCTTGTGCCGTGGATTTTAAACGTTATTTATTCCTAGTTATTTGTTTATTCAACAAAATTGGGTTGAACACCTACTTTATGCCAGGCCTTGTACTGAGAGTTCAAAATTTCACCCAGACCAAGGTCCAGCCCCTGGACTAAAAGACCTCAGAGTCTAGTGGCAAAACAGCTATTGGACAGGTAATTACACAAGTCTCTAATTGCAATTTGATAAGGAGAAAAAAGTATAAATGCCCAACCTAGCTTATTCCCCAACACACTAGGGACACTCCCACCCCAGGGCCTTTTCATCTGCCGTTTCCTCTTCCTGGTGTGCTTTGCCCAGATACCCACAGAGCTCGCCTCCTTCCAGATTCGAGAGGCATCTTTCTGGCTGCCCTGAACCCACACTGCAACCCCGAGGCCAACCCCCCTTGGCCACTTCCTGTCCCTGCCCTGCTTCATTTCTTCCTCCCCAGCACCCACCACTTCCCGTGTTGGTTTCACTTCCTCATCGTGTGGGTCAGCTCCTAAGCTAGACTGTGAGCTCCATGGGGAAGGGATTCTGCCTCTTTGCAACTGAAACGGGGGACTGGCAGCCACTAGGAGCTCCGTAGACACTCACTGAGTGACTGAAAGACCGTTCTGCTTCCTCTTGCTGATTTCCTGCCATCTCTCAACCCTGGAGATCCTTGGGACCCTGCATTCTCTTCTCTGAAACATCAGTCACCCCTTCCCCTGCCCTCCCAAGCGGGGGCATCCCATTCATTTGAGAAACCTGGTTTTGTTACTCCGTGTGCACGTTTGTGTGTGATACCGAGCGCCTGCTATGGGCTGGACACTGAGACAGGAGAGAATCAGGCCCCTTCCCACCCTGGAGGAATGTCTAGTCCCACGGAAGACAACATATGAATGCAGGAAACCAGGAGATGGGAGATCCTGAAGGGACTGTTCTGATTGCAGGCTGGCACATTGGTGTGTTGTGCGGCAGGGGGAGTCTTTTCACCCTGATAGTGGCAGGGTCTTGGGGAAAAGCAGGGACAGAGCCCTGTGGCATGCCACTGGAGACCCTCCCTCCGTTTGGGAGTCTACCCAGCTATACCTTTATCAGACCCCATTTTTCCCATCTTACTGTAAGGACGTCAGAAAATGTGTCACCCGGGCATGGTGGCTCAGCCTGTAATCCCAGCACTTTGGGAGGCCGAGATGAGAGGATTGCCTGAGTCCAGGGGTTTGAGACCAGCCTGGGCAACTTGGTGAGACCTTGTCTCTACAATAAATCACAAAAACTAGCTGGGCGTGGTGGTGTGCATCTGTAGTTCCAGTTACTTGGAAGGCTGAGGCAGAAGGATCTCCTGAGCCCAGCAGGTCAGCCCGTGAGCATGCCACTGCACTCCAGTCTGGTTGACAGAGTGAAACTACAACTCGAAAAAAAAAAAATGTGTCAAGTGTCCCACTGAACCCCACAGAACCGTTGACTGAGCCACAGTAACTATCAGGATA